TCCTGCTGATGAGGTAAGCAATGACTACAATGATGATGAGTATGATGAGGATTATGCCCACGGCGATGGGAACGCGGTAGTCAGGTTGATCAGCCTTGCATAGTTCAGCTGTTGTACAAGCACAAACAGAGCACATTGATCTTGTATCTCATTGTAAGAAATGAAAATGAAGTCAATATTGTAGTTGCAAAAATTAAAAGCTGGTATACACCACACGACTTTTCAAATCTGAACAGATTTTTCAAGTTGTTCTGAACACAACAAACTCACACAGAAATGTGTGTCAGTGCTTGGAGATGCATGACAAATGAACAATATCCCCGTGTCTAAATATGCCTACTTCCATACTATATAGTAGGTTAAAAAAATTGTCTGAATTTCATTCATACTACATACTTTTTTAACGGTCGCAAAGCAAGTTTTAAACCAAATGTAATACCTACTATACAGTATTCAATTTTGGACACAGCATATGTGTTCTAAAAAAATATAAAATGTTTGATATCCTCCAAATTGGTTTAAAATGTTTTTAAAAAACATGTTGGGAATAAGATCCACATTAGTTAATAGGTGGCCTTTGAACTTTATAACAGGCAGACATTTGTTTAGAGTCATCTGGCTGGTCTAACCAGCTCTTTTGCATTGCCATGACAGTTTTGCAACAATCTTTGTAAACAAGCTGTATGAAGCATCTAGGACATAAGGTATACAGTGCATGAAAATGCAAGGAGTCCAGTTCGATAGCAACATAACTTGTAAGCTTGTAACATAAAGTAGAGGTTACTTTAAAAATAACTGTCATCCACTACAAGGATGGAGTGCTTTAATATAATGAAGCATCATCACTCTATACTTACGTGGTCCGAAATTCTTGTTTTTGATATCGAAGGCCTGAACCCTGTATTGAGTCAGATCCAGACTCACACCGCCCCCCATGTACACCGTCTCAGCCTTGCAGGAGTAAGAGTAACCCAGATCCACAGAAAACAGCTCAAGAGACCTGTTCGTCCCTGTGTAATTCCTTAACACTTTGTTGACAAAAATAAAAATAATTTGATAAGTGTTGGCATGGATGTGCACAAAATGATAAAAACATTAACCAAGTCTCTCCCTGTTCGTAATCCCACAAACTTAATTGTGATAATAATAGTCATAATTATAGCCAAAACGCTTCCATTAGCACTCGTTTCATTCACACAGACATAACAACTAAATATCTATGAGTCCTTATGCAACGTCATAAAGTGATTGTTTTTAAATTCAAAATGAAATGCATGTACACACATGGATTTTTCACAGTGAGGTAAAGACAATATTTACTGTAACCAAAAATGACACTAATACTTCCTTATTCTTTCTTGGCAGAATGTGACATTTATTGTTGCCAAACTGGTTGAGCTGCATGGCCTACTGTTTGCTTTATTGAGGCTTGGCTATTTAGGTCATTAAAAAAAATCTGAAGCAAGATTTCTGTTTTCAGTAGATTTTTGAATAAGCCAATCATTTAAAAATCATATATAACTTATTACACTTAAAATAGACCAATACTAAAATGTAACTTCTTTATTTAAATACACTATTTATTTAACTATATAGATAAAAGTCCAAAGTCCTGGGAATAAACTGCAGAAAATTGAGGATGTGTGTTGTTGTGGATGCTTTACAAGGAAAATTGTACTAGTCATATATGGCAGGGAATTTACCTCCTCTTTTGAAAGCATAGGTCAACTCGTATTGCACATACTTGACATAGACCTTTTTTGTTGTCTTATTCTGGAAAGTCAGAAAAAATATTATTAGAATGTTAACCAAAAATACACGAACACAATAGAATACGAAGACCTGGTGCCTCCCTGTGAGCCTATTGATATTTTTTTTTCTTGCTGGGTGTCAGCTCAGTTTTATATCAGACAGAAAATAATTAACGCAGTCTTATATACTTCCTCCTAAACTGCTTCAAAGTTCCAGTTTTTCAGACCACACAAACTCAGGTTGTACTGAAAGATACATGAACTTGTTTGGCAAGAAAGACCACTAGCCTGATACAGACTAACTCCAGTGCTAAAAGAATCTTTTAGATCAGTGGTTTTCAAACCCTTGGTCACGACACTCGGGTGGGTCGCAACTTCAAGATGTAAAAAATGGGTCGCCAGGATGATTTAAGGAAAATGTATATATGTATGTAACAAAGTTCAAGACTCAGGGAAGAAGGAAGTGGGAATCGGCAAATTTAACTTTAATAACTAAATAAACATAAACAACAAAACGAAAGTAAGCGGCAGCCACCTCGCGGCAGAATCCAATGTGTATTTGTGGTGGCGCTCAGTCTTGAACATTGTAGCCAATCACAGACATATCTGTTGATTTCTGGAACGCAATGGCCAATCAGAGGCATTTCAGTTAGTCAGAATCCACTCACCGCTCAAAATGCCAGTGTTTTTGTTCAGTCCTGAGTTCTGGAAGCTCGCAAATCCTCTCATTGTAATGAACAAAGTGTAGACATGATGTAAATAAGAGATTAATTGTGCCTTGTAGAGAGATTCATTGATTATAGCGGAATTGTCTGAGATCGCGATAAACTGAAATGAGTGACAGCTTTTCAGTGATTAAGGGCGCACTCTTTGCTCGCTTTCTTGGCTATATATAGTCCATTCAGAATTTGAATAAAAGTTTTGTGTTTCATGCTGCTAAGAGGACCAATGTGGCGTACATGCTGCAAAGTTTTGGGAGTGACATGCGCACATAGTGACACAGTCAAGTCAAGTCAAGTCACCTTTATTTATATAGCGCTTTTAACAATACAGATTGTGTCAAAGCAACTGAACAGCATTAATTAGGAAAATAGTGTCAATAATGCAAAATGACAATAGTAAACACAAATTTTTCAGTTAAAGACAGTTCATCATTGAATTCAGTGATGTCAACATCCAGCTCAGTTTAAATAGTATCTTTGCAATCAAGTCAACGGTATCGCTGGAAATGAAGTGTCCCCAACTATGTGCACAGTATAACACAGTGATAATCATAACAATGGACTGAACAAAATATGATGTCAAAATAGATGTGCATGAAGGCTAAAGCACCCTCACTAATTTTAGACGCACTGACAGTGATTTGATCTTGAACAGAGCATCCTTCCGGAGCTCCTCTGTGGGACTCGAGACCGGTCTGTGGTGCAGTTATTGTTCATTAACATTTGCACCATCTGCACTGCCTTGCTTCACGCCACTATCTATCTTTAGAAGCATCTTTAGATAGATAGATAGATAGATTGATTGATTGATTGATTGATTGATGGATGTTCAGAAATTGTTCACAACCACAACATTTTGTTTGGGAGTACAGTATGTGGAGTGTGAGTTCCTCACTTCCTTTTCCAAACAATTGCACTCTCTCTCTCTCTCTCTCTGTGTGTTTAATGGGCTCTTGTTACTGGTGTTGCAGGCACAGAAACCGCTCCAACAGCAGCTCCTCCAGAGGGTCCAGTCACAGGAGGAGGAGCCGGAGCACAGATGGGGCGGAGCCGAAGCACAGACAGGAGGCGGAGCCGAAGCACAGACAGGAGGTGGAGCCGGAGCACTGATGGGGCGGAGCCGGAGCACAGACGGGGGCGGAGCCACAGGTCCCACAGGTCTCAATCCCGCAGCTGCAATAGAAGGTAAGCACAAGCGCATTATGATGACTGTAAGTAGTTATGTAAATAACTGGTCCTTAGCATTGGTGGAATGAATGTAAAAAGACTTCATTTACCTTTCCAAAGTAAATAGTTTTGCTTCTTAGAAGAAAACAAGTGATTATACTGTTTTAAATGGTTTTGAGTAGGAAACTTCAGGTCATTTTATATGTAAGTCAATCATATGAAGCAACGTTAAAATTTTGTGAGTGAATTTTCATGCACTGTTTGTGCTCATTATGAATCATTGCGCAATCATAGTTATGATTTTTTTTTACTGGTGGACAATAGAACAGACCAAAAACACTGAAAAAAAAAAGAGGAGTAGGATTTACTTTGAAACTGTTTTAACCCTTGTGCGTTCTTAGGGACAATTTTGTCTTTTTCTTTTTTTTTTTGGCTGCAGTGTTAATGCAAGCACTATAAATGTTGTCAAAGATGTGTATTTTTATTGATATTTTAATATTTTACTCTCATTTCCTTTAATAAATCTATTACTCTATGTACAAAAAATAGATACAATCAGGACAATATGGACAAAAATGTCCCCATTAAAACAGCAATATTTAATCCCAGTGCCATTTAATCATAAAATCATGCATTCTTTGTTAATTATTTTTACTATTTTTTTGTAATTCTTACTATTTTCCACGTGATAGCACAATTTTCTGCAGGTTTGGCCTATGGAGCAAGTTTTTTTTTTTCTGTCTTCTGCTTCTGCTAAGATTTGAATTTGAATTGGAAATGTTGTAATTATAATTGTGTTGATGTATTCATGTGGATATCAGAGGTTTGTGTGAATGGTAGTTTGTTTATTTATTTGTTTATTTAATTCTTACATTGCACTAAAATAATAACGCATCAAAATTATTGATTAGCATGTAATGTGTCTTGGGGGGAAAAATCTTAGCATTTAATATATGGAAGTTAATAGATTTGTGTGTGTGTGTTTGTGTGTTTCTCCCATAAAAACAATAGTGGTATTACGTAAAAAACAAACAAACTGGTATTTAAAGGGTTAAAATCCTGAAAATGAATGAATTTTTGGTAATTATGATCAGGACTAACGTTAGTAAAAAGATCAATGACAGTGAAAGCGGAAAAAAATATAAATATATATATTTTTATGACCTCTGTGTAACTTTTTCAAATTGATGCTCAAGGGTTAACAAAAAATAAATAAGTTTTTTAATAGTGCAGGTACAGACTTTTTTTCCCCATGAAATGTTATTTCTGTACAAATCAAATGCCACTTTTATTTATTTGCTAAAAACACAAGTCGGCCACATCATCATCATCATCAGCAGCAGCAGCAGCAGTGATTTTCTTCTCCCACATTTGGACTCAGATGCTAACATGTGCTTGGTTAATTAGCGTATGACAGGTTGCCATTAAAGACCTTCTGTTCGCAGAGCCACTCTTGTCCAGCGCACACAGATACTCACACTCATTACAGGGGTTATTAGTGTCGATTATTATTGTTTTTGTCTGTATTAATTAAGTACTGGCACAAGCACCCTTGGGTCAGTCCACATTTGTCTGCCCTTGTGCCTGTTTGGAGCTCGGAAGAAAACGGGGCACTTAGGTTGATGAATTAATGCAGCTAAAATATGATTATCCATCGGCTGTTTATTTCATTTTTTATTTAAAGTAAACTCTCATGCACACAGGAATAAGAACAGTAGGCTTTTTGTTTTTAAAGGTAGGCTATTGCATTACCATTGCAAATGTGTGCAAATGAAGGAGAGTTTTGTTGAAGGCTTTAGAAGTGTACGGATGGCTTTCATAATGCATACAGGCTAAAGCCTTTGTTTGCTTGTGTTCGGCTGTAGGAGATGCTGGCATCGTTTAAATAAGCCGGCAAATCTTTCATTCATATCTTAGTTAGATTGACACAGATTAACAGGGTTTATAGCATCAGGGCCATGTTGAATTAAGGGTTAAATTGGGTGCCGATTCAGCATTTTATATGGTAACTCTTACCTTATGGGAATGAGATTATCTGACGTGAAATAATTTAGTTATGAACTGCTGAAAATAGTAGCTAACATCTGGACTGATAACTAGAAGGTGACTGCATCGGTCCTCTCAAGGATGCTGCTTAAGGATGCTTAAGTTAAGGTGACTTGGATGAAAGCATTTGCTAAATAGCAAAACTGTTTTATAAAGTTTAGGCGATGAAGAAACGTGAAGCTTTTTCACAGTCTCTGGCCTGCGAGTCTGTATGATGTCAGAGTTCGGTTTGTTTAGTTTATGTGAAAGCTGTTTTCTGAACGTAATAGATTTATTAGTTTCTCACTGTTGACTCCTGAGGTCATGTTTGGCACCGATGTATTCTGTAATTCCAGTCTCTATTTGAAAACAGATGGAAAAGGAACAAGAATATGGTAAATAATTAAAAGATTCGGCACACGATGGCACTGCGCAGGCTGACGTGTGTTTAGTTTTGAAACTCAAACACAAATCCTTGCATTTGTCATGTGTTCATTATCAATTACACTGGATAGATATTACAGGCATTATTTCTCTTGGTTTTAGGTAACTTATTAGGGCTTGAGGATTAGGATTATAAATTTTAATCAAATTAATTACACATTGTCATTTAAATAGTCTAATTAATAGCATATTAATCGCACATCAAATTTGTCTGAGACTCACCCCCAAAAGATCATTTATATTGTGTTACACAAGGTAGATATTACAAAATGTAGCTTTAAAAAAAAAAA